GTACAGCGATGTGTGGTCGTTTGACTTGGATACCTATCAATGGAAGAGGATGCCATTTGACCTAGCTACCCCGGTATTTTTCCATGACGCTGCAATTACAAAGGTGAGAACTTAGATTACTGTTCTACTCTAGATCGGAAACAATTTCTCCTTCAGGAAGGATGCTTGTTGGTTTGGGGCGGTGTGCGTGACATTTACAGTTCAAATCGTACAAATATTGGCCAGTACTGCTATCTCGAGCCTCCCTCTTTGAAAACTTTGGCTGCTCTTTCGCTGCGACCCTACATTAATTACAAGGTAAGTGATCTGATAGCATATTGAGAATAAAGTAAGCAGTTTATCCAATTGATTCCGTCCCTGTTATGTTTAACATTTTAGACTGTCGAGGAAGCGAACAATTTGCGGTTTTCGTGTGTCATGGAAGTGGTGCGAGGTATTTGCAGTGGACAGTCTCTTGAGCAGTCTGTCTCCAACCATCAGTGAAACTTCTACGGATTGACGCTTCTTCTCGTAGGGACCGCATTACACCTATCTACTCGATCTACCGGTTATATCGACTGAATTTCTGATTTTTCCCTTTTTACGGCGAATACCCATAATAATCATCCATAATGAAACAGACACAAAAATAAGGACATTTCATGTGTTTTTGGTGTTACTAGGTACCTACGTTTTAATTTGCGTTCCTCTTACAATGCAGGGTTCATTCCTCCAGGTTTAACGCTGGATGACTTTTTGTACTAAATGTCGAAAATTCTTGGTCCCATCTGTTTTTATAGAATTCTCATATCTAGTCCTATTAGTTCCGGCATGTGATCTTCACAAATAGAGCGCTCAATCATAGTTCTACTTCATCATTTGTGACTTGTATTGATTTGAATGACGTAGGTGTTGCATCTTACGCAGTAGTCAGATACTCAATTAGGACAAGTTTCGGGTATCTGTGTTGCAGACTTAGAGTGATAAACATTGGAACACTGACTATGGAGTTTGATTGTATAGTTCGTCGCACTGATATCTGTGTCAAGGATGCTTTCACTCTTGTTAGGACGTCATTATTCCAGTTTATGGCACTGTCGTTACTTTCGCAGAACAGATGTTCATTTGGTGGTTGTCAGCTATACTTCTCCAGCACGGACGATCTAATCGCCCACATAGAGTTCACCCATATTCGTAAGTCACACACAGCCACTGAATCTATTCATGCACCAAGCTGTTGGTTTTAGCGCCGTTAGAGGACGAATATCGTCAAAAAGTTAGCCAAGCTCAAGGTACTGAAGAGAATCGTGCTTCAGCTACTCCGAATATGCCACTTAGTTGTGTTTATAGGTTGGCCACTTGAATATTGTAGAAATTTTTCCCTGCAAGAAATCTGTGTGATGTTCAGGCTCTTCCGCCCTGCATACAATCCTGCGCCATGTGATCCAGACGTTGTTCGCATAACGTTCAACCATTACCGGAAAACGACCTAATGAGTGTACTTATTGTCAATATGATTCTTTTCCTTTCATCTACCCCATTTATTTATATTTTTTAGCTGGGAGCTCATCGAGTGT